AGCTTGCAATCCTCTTCCCTCAGCCTCCGAGTAGTTAGGATTATAGACATGGGCCAACCACTATGCCTAGCTTCTCTTTTCTTTTCTTTCTTTTTGTGTGTGTGTGTATGTACTATGGATTGAACCTAGGCCACTTAATCACTGAGCCACATCCCCAGCCCTTTTTTAATTTAGAGACAGGATCTCTCTAAGTTGCTTAGGACCTTGCTAAATTGCTGAGACTGGCCTTGAACTTGCTATCCTCCTGCCTTAGCCTCCCAATTTGCTGGAATTAAAGGCATGGCTACCACATCTGGCTTCTTTGTCTTCTTAATTAAAGGGAAAGAGAGGGCTGGGTTGTGGCTCAGTGGTAGAGTGCTTACCTTGCATGCATGAGGAACTGAGTTCGATCCTCAGCACCACATAAAAACAAATAAAGATATTGTGTCCATTTAGAACTAAAAAAAAAAAATCAGTTTAAAAAAAATTTTTAAATAAAGGGAAAGAGAAAGGGAAGTAGTAGGTAAAGGGGGATTTAAGTTTTTTTTTTTTTTTAATCTCCAGTTATTGTGGTTTATTGGGAGAGGCTTAAGAATATAAATATGTTTGGTGAAAAATGTTAATTGGGTAGTTGGAGATAGAGCAGTGAAGTAATGGGTGGAATAGCACTCTGGAAGAGATGGTTGGGAATGTCTGGGAGCTCAGGAAATCACTCAACCTAGAGTTCCATTGGCACAATTGCTTAGCCTGCAGTACTTCTAAGAAGTATTGCTGTTTTTTTCCTCCTTTGTCCTTAGGCTGACCCAGAGACCCTTCCTAACACAGCCCTTGCTCCTACTCAGGAACACCCTCCACCTAATGACAGTGCCTTCATGGGAAGCATCTTGACAGCAGTGGCAGATGAAGGTTAAAGGTCCTGGGATTTGGTTGGGAAAGTTATGACCCTTCTCCCGATATCTTTATCTGGTGAAGATGCACATCATCTATTTTTCTGGGCTTTCTCCCCTGGTTGGTTTTTGTTTTAGAGCCAGAATCAGCTCCTGTGCCCTTGCTTGGAAGTGACAACAGTGCTTTCACCCGAGTGGAATCAATGGTTTCCCTTCAGTCTACAGGTGAGGATGGGCTCCAGGGATCCTGCCTCATTTCTAGAAAATGTGGTGGTGATGAGTAAAGACAAAAGCAGTGAGAAGTGCTTTGCTCTAAAAACCTCAATTCTACTTGGGCTCATTTTATTTCTGCCTTTTGGGATCTGTTATGTTCTGGATATTCAAATCATATGGGTGGGGGAACACAGATAAGGGTTATGGGAATGATGGCTATATACCCCTTTCTTCTAGACTGAAGGGCTATACCTCTATCTAGGATTTTTTCTTTCAGAGATCCCAGACATGGAGGAGAGACTGGCAGAAATAAGTACTAAGCTTCTTGACCTTCAGAGCCTGTGTTCCTTGTTGCAAGAGTCTAAAGAAGAAGCTATTGGGACTCTGCAGCAAAAAATGTGAGATGCAGTCTTGATGAAAGGGGGCAATAAGAGAGCCCCTCATAAGGGCATCGCACAGTTCTGAGAGGGCAGGAATGATGTGGGATTCTTCCCTCCCCCAAGTTGTGCTTTGCAGGATAGGCTGCAGGCACAGGAAGAACAGCATCAGGAAGCCCAGAAGGCAAAGGAAGCAGACATAGAGAAGCTGAACCAGGCCTTGTGCTTACGCTATAAGGTGAAGGAGGGGCCTAGAAGTGGGGCGATGAAGAACTGGGGCAGGTTTACTGGCCCACTGGGAGCCATTGTCTCTCCAGGAATCTGGGTGGTGAGGATTTTCCAATTACTGCCCTAGTTTTGCCCTTCCTGGGGCCACACATTTTACATATTTAGGAATGGGGCTATGGGCTGACCTGTCTTCCCAGGAGAGAAGTCAAGAATTCTTAACAGAACTCTCCCACCAACTGATAGATGCCTTGACTCACTTGGCCATGGAGGAGAATCAGAATGGTACCAGCTGGTCCCACCATGGCCAAACATAGGTCAGATACACCCCTCTACCTCCTAGCAAGTGCTTTGAAGCCAGTTCTCAGTATCTTCTCACCTCCCTTTCTCTTGCAGAATGAAAAGGAGCTCCAAGAAGTGATACAGAAGCAGAATGAGAAGATCCTAGAACAGATAGACAAGAGTGGCGAGCTTATAGTATGTTTCTCATGATACCCAGACTTCTGCTTTCTGTGCCACTGGTAGCAAGATCCCAAACATGACAAGTGGATATCCTGGTTCACTTTTTTCCACCACCTGAGATTAGAAGGATAGAGACCTTTGAATGCTATCAGATACCTCTATTCTCATTCCCAGAGCCTCAGAGAAGAAGTGACCCAGCTTACCCGCTCACTTCGGCATGCAGAGACAGAAACCAAAGTGCTACAGGAGACCCTAGCAGGCCAGCTGGACCCTAACTGTCAGCCCATGGCCACCAACTGGATCCAGGAGAAAGTGTGGCTCTCTCAGGAGGTAACTCAAAGTTAACAGATAAATTGGACAATTGGTGGGGACCCCAGACTGTGCCCTTATTAATCTGGGCCTATCTGCAGGTAGACAAGCTGAGGGTGATGTTCCTGGAGATGAAAAATGAAAAAGCAAAACTCATGGTCAAGTTCCAGAATCATGTAAGCATTTCCATGCTATTCTAAGGCCATTTCCTTACACCACTAGCAAGCACCCTGCCATATTACTTCTGTCCTGCCAAGCTATGCTGTTCTTAGCACAGGACTATGAAATCTATTTGCCTTCTAGAGAAATATCCTAGAGGAGAACCTTCGGCGCTCTGAAACAGAGTTAAAGAAACTAGATGACATTGTTCAGCATATTTATGAGGTAATGGAGGTTGGGAGGTAGTAAAACTAAGGCATAAGGCCTGGCCACAGGAAGTACTAAGGAGCACAACTCTAGCTCCCAGCCTTTGCTGCGAGGTGGGCCTCACACTCTCTCATATGCTTCTTTGTGGCTTCTGTTTCCTCCATTTTAACACACTGGCTGTTTCTTGGGGCTGGGATCTTGGGCCTTAGGCTTGAGGTTCTGAGCTTCCTTTTTCTGCCTCTCTTCCCAGACTCTGCTATCCATCCCAGAGGTAGTGGATAGTTGCAAGGAACTACAAGGATTGCTACAATTTCTGAGCTAAGTAGTTGGTCATGTGTAATCCCAGCTACTTGGGAAGCTGATGTGGAAAGACTAATTGAACCCAGAAGTTCATGACCAGCCTGGGCAACATAGTGAGACCTCATCTCAAAAAACAAAACAAAAAAGAAAAACTGAGCTGGATTCTGCTTCATCCCTTTTATCTGCAAATATTTCCTTACCCTATCACTAGGACCAATTGGCCTAGAGCCAACTATGTTTGATGCTATTTAAATAAAGTATATTTAACGTATTTCTTCAAGTCCATTGAGTCTTATTTTGTGTGTTGGGGGAGTTGAATGAGGTCAGGTAAGAGGCAGCTGGGCCCCCAGCCTGCATGTACTTCATAGATCATTTTCCTGCTGCATCCAGAGCAAGGGCTGTCTGCCCTTTCTCCTTTCTCTTGCTTTCCCAAATATTCCGGGCACTGGACTGCTTGTACCCTGGCTCTGGGCCTAGGGGAAACAGAAAAGACTCCATTCTCTTATTTTCCCCATCCCCCTTTGAGGTAGGCCCTGGTAAATATGGGGCTGAGGACAGAGAATCTCAGTTCATTATTCCATTGCCTTGAATTTGGGCCCTGGTTGATACCTCTGTTCCACCTACCCCATCTGCTGTGACTGTTTAAAGGACTCTGCTTCACCAGATCAAGCTTAATCCCCAACATCCAGCATAGTGCTCTGCACGTGGCAAAAGTGATTGTGGCAGACAGAACAAGGCCATTCCCTGCAAGGCCCCAAGGGGACACCTTCCACGAGGTGGTAGGCGGACAGCCCCTAACATCAGAGGTCCCGATTGGGGTCACTCCACCTCGTTGCTCCGCCCTTGGGGGCGTGGCCTTCCCCAGACCAGTCCTAGGAAGGGGTGGAATCAGGGCGGGGAAGTGCCAGTCCCGCCCCCCGGGGAGTCACGTAGCTCTGCGCAATCCGCAGCCTCATTTACTGGAGCCCGCGCTGAGCTGCGTCTGTTGCAGACCAGAACTGGAGCTCGTTGAACCTGTAGCTGCTGCTGCTAACTCCCTGTGTTCTGGTAAGGCCCTTGGCAAGGCAAGAGCTGCTCGGCACCTCCACTTTCTCTCCTGGACTTTTCCCTTGCCAGCCTTGCCTGTTCCCTGGGTCCGGTGGATGTGACTTTTCAACCCTCTCCTCTTTGATTTTCACCTGGGATCAGCCTCTCCCCCCAGCCATTTTAATCTCAGCCTGCTTCTGCTCCTCCCTTTCCAGCTAGCTCTCTTGCCTTCTCTGCCCCTAGGTCTAGGTCCTTGCACCCGGCTGGTTAGCCCATATCACCATCACCATCACCATCACCTCTACAATTCTCCTTTCTCCTTCTCCTTTCTTCTTCTCTTTCTCTCCCTCCCTTACTCAGGCTCCCTACTCATTCCTTTTCGCCTTCGTTCCCTGGTCATCTCCCCACCATGTGTCTGAGTTGTAGGGAGTTGAAATGCTCCCTATTTCCCGTGCCTCCCTCCACACAGAAGTACTCTGGGCCCTGGAGAAGACCTGGTGGTGTGTCATTTCCATGTGACTTAGCTGGCCTGCTGATGCTCTTTCCTATCACACTTTGTAGTCTCTTTGGAGTCAACCTCTGACACAGGGTTGGGGAGTAGGCAGTAGGCTGAGGCAGTCAGGTTTGTAGTAAAAAGAAAAGGTCATAGAAGTCTATTACTGTTATATGTGCCACTCCTACTCCTGAACCTGCCCCCTTCCTTCCAGCCTTTTCCTCTAGAAGCTTGCCAGGTTGGGAGATGGGGAGTGAACAGTGCTTTTTTGTCTCATTCTAAAGCTTTGGAAATATGTGCACTCTCCTAAGGGTATCATTGAGATTGAAAAAAGGGAAGCTGGAAAATCCAGCTTATGCCTACCTCAAGAAAGACACATTCAGGATTAGCATCCTCAATTGGTCAGCAGTTTTTTCATGAGAAGACCAGTAGCTTCAGGGCTGCTCATCTCCCCAACCCCCACTCTGCAATTCTCTTCTGGGCTGGGAAGGGTGCCCATCAGGGACAAAGGAGGTGTGGGAACTGGGGCTCTAGGCCTGCTAGCTGTCAGAGAGATTGGTGCCACTCTGATGCCCAGGACCCATGCCAAGGACTGCTGCTCTGCTCCCAGTTCCACTTTTGGGGTGGGGAGGCATTTGGCTAAGCAGAGGAGGTAATGGGTGGGGTTCAACTTTTATATTTTGTCTCCATTCCAGAGAGCTGTCACCATGCCCCACTCCTACCCAGCCCTTTCTGCTGAGCAGAAAAAGGAGTTGTCTGACATCGCCCTCCGCATCGTAGCCCCAGGCAAAGGTATCCTGGCCGCAGATGAGTCTGTAGGTAAGTGGGGCCTGTGGTCAGGGTGGTGGAGATAGCCAGGGAGCCATGGTCAGGGGGTTGGTTGTCTCTTATTTGCTTACAGGTAGCATGGCCAAGAGGCTGAGCCAAATTGGGGTAGAAAACACAGAGGAGAACCGCCGGCTGTACCGCCAGGTCCTGTTCAGTGCTGATGACCGTGTGAAGAAGTGCATTGGAGGTGTCATCTTTTTCCATGAGACACTCTACCAGAAAGATGATAACGGTGTCCCCTTTGTTCGAACCATCCAAGATAAGGGCATTGTTGTAGGCATTAAGGTACAGTCCCTGGTCCTGACTGGGGGCTGGATATGGAAATATGTATAGGAGGGGTGGTAAGGAGAATTCTGCTTGGGCTCATCCCTCTGCCTGTTTCCTCTGCAGGTTGATAAGGGTGTAGTGCCTCTGGCTGGGACAGATGGAGAAACTACTACCCAAGGTACGTGGTGGGTGGGCTTTAGTACCACAGGGATTAAGTGTTCAATACAAGCAAGAGAGGGCAGGGTGATGAGGCTGGCACTATCATTGCAGGACTGGATGGTCTCTCAGAACGCTGTGCCCAATACAAGAAGGATGGTGCGGACTTTGCCAAATGGCGCTGTGTGCTGAAAATCAGTGAGCGCACGCCCTCAGCACTTGCCATTCTGGAGAATGCCAATGTGCTGGCCCGCTATGCCAGCATCTGCCAGCAGGTATGTGGGTTTGGGTAGTCAATTGGGTGTCCTGTTCCTGGTGGGGAGAGGATTAAAGAGCTTCCTTTCTCACTTATTGCCCCACCTAAGCCATTCTTTCTTGCCTACAGAATGGCATTGTGCCTATTGTGGAGCCTGAGATCCTGCCTGATGGAGACCATGACCTCAAACGTTGCCAGTATGTTACAGAGAAGGTGAGTTCATAGGTGGGCACAGACACATACTTCAAAGGCAGCCTGGCAAGGGGTGCCTATGCCTATTCCTCCAGCTTAGATCCAGGCACACTCTCCCCTAGTGCTCTTCTCCTGATCCCAAAAAAGACCTGCAGATCTGAGCCTATACTGAATCCTCACAGTCCATTCCCACCTCATCTATCTCTAAGATGGTGGCACAGAGCAGTAAGCAATGGGGATCCAGAGACCCTTCATAAACCTCCTTTGATCCCCAGGTCCTGGCTGCCGTGTACAAGGCTCTTAGTGATCATCATGTGTACCTGGAGGGGACGCTGCTCAAGCCCAACATGGTGACCCCTGGCCATGCCTGTCCCATCAAGTATACCCCAGAAGAGATTGCCATGGCAACTGTTACTGCTTTGCGTCGCACTGTGCCACCTGCTGTCCCAGGTACTACCTGGCTAACTTGTTCCTATCCCTAAGGTCCATCCTCAAGTTCTATTTGTGGCTGTCAAAGGACCCTTACCCTGGAAAAATAGGGAGTGACCAATCAATTTGTCTTCTCTCCTCTACCTCAGGAGTGACTTTCCTGTCTGGAGGTCAAAGTGAAGAAGAGGCATCACTCAACCTCAATGCCATCAACCGCTGCCCACTCCCTCGACCCTGGGCACTCACCTTCTCCTATGGACGTGCGCTGCAGGCCTCTGCATTAAATGCCTGGCGAGGACAAAGGGACAATGCTGGGGCTGCCACTGAGGAGTTCATCAAGCGAGCTGAGGTCAGGAACTAGAAGTGGTGGTGGTGGTGGTAGAGTGTGTAGCAGGGCAGGGACCAGCACCCAGAGGTTACATCCGGGGCAATTTAATACCTTTGGACCGGCACAGCTTGTTTACTCCACTTTCCCCTTTTGCAGGTGAATGGGCTTGCCGCCCAGGGCCAGTATGAAGGCACTGGAGAAGATGGTGGAGCAGCAGCACAGTCCCTCTACATCGCCAACCATGCCTACTGAGGCATACTTAATCCACTCTATGGCCCTTGGCCCAGCCATCTGTACTCTTTTGCCTGTAGTCATGGTCAGGGCCAAATAGCCACGCAGAACAGAGATGCCTTTGTCCAACATCAAGTCAACTTCTTTTTCTCTTCTCTCCTCCCCTCTCATTGCTGCACCTGGGACCATAGGATGGGAGAATAGGGAGCCCCTAATGCCTGAGGGCGGGAGAACCTGCTAGAAGTCAGAACAGAATGCCTGGGTCTTCCCTACCTCCACCAGCCCTAACAATTTCCCCATGGTGGTATAGCTTCTCCTTGGACTCTCCTTGCTGCATCTCTCTCCTAGGATGAGAGAGAAGTACACTAGTCCTGCCTCATGCCTTGAATACATACCACATAGCAAATAAATGGTAGCAAAACATGCTACTTTGTCTGTGTGTTTTACACATCAAATTTCTACCTCCCATTTCTGACCTCTACTGATTCTTTCTCTGGGCCCTCCAACCATGGAGGTGAAAAGGGTGGGATTTGAGGCAGCTCAGGATCCTGTGTGTTGATGTCCAAAACTGGAATCGAACAGTAAGGACTCCTAAGTCGGGAGTCTGCCATGTCAGGAGCACTTGGGCTTCTTATACAGAAGATGGAGTGAGGCAAGATGAACAACTTCTGAAAGCAGATTTTGTGCAAGGCTCAAAGCAGGGAGGTAGCAGGATAAACTGGGATGAGAGTAGTTCTCCCACCTCGGCAGTTCTGAGCCCTGCTGGGGCCTGACACATTCCACCAGTAGGATCACCTGGTCTTGGTAAATCTCCAAGGCTCTAGTGGCTGCTGGGCTAACCATAGTACGGTATCTAGAGGTTGCCAAGAACTATGCTTATTCCCATTTGGGATAAGAGTATAAAGGGGGCCAATTTGAAAGTCTTGGCAAGGGAGACCTTGTGAGCCCTCATGCTGAAATTTTAACCACTCAGTTGGGGTGTGACATCAGCTGAGAACCTCAGTCTATCTGAATAGATTAAAGATGAGAGAACATGGGGCTAGGGTTGTGGCTCAGAGGTAGAGTACTCACCTAGTATGCTTGAGGCACTGGGTTTGATCCTCAGCCCACATAAAAATTAAAAAAAAAATAAAGATATTGTGTCCACCTATAACTAAAAATATTTTTTAAAAAGCAAAGATGAGAGAAGAAGCTGGACATGAATTTGCAACCTTCCTGCCTCAGCCTCCCAAGTCACTGGGATTACAGGTGTGGACCACCACACATCACACTTGGCTTATTCCTATTTTAATATAAGGAAACAGGCACAGAGACATCATTTAGGTAAAAAGATGTGAAGCCAGAATTTGAACCCTAGTGATTAGGATCCATAGTCTGTGCTCTTGAATTGTAGAGATTTATTATTCCTTTAATTTTTTTTTTAGTTGTAGATGGACACAATATCTTTATTTATTTTTATGTGGTGTCAGGCACAATCCCAGCCCTAGAGATTTATTTTTAAGTAAAATGTCCTGACTTTTCCAAGTTGGAAATGAATTCAAATGAATTTTAAAATACTGGAAGCCAGATGCAGAGACACACATGTAGTCCCAGCTACTTGGGAGACTGAGGCAGAAGGACCTGGTAGTTCCAGACCAGCCTGGGGAACATAGCAAGACCGGTGTCAAAAAATAATTTTTTTTTTAAAGAAAGAAAGAGAGAGAGAGAGAGAGAGAGAGAGAGAGAGAGAGAGAGAGAGAGAGAGATTTTTTTAAAAAATTTATTTTTTAGTTTTCGATGGACACAACATCTTTATTTTTATGTGGTGCTGAGGATCGAACCCAGCGACCTGCGCTTGCCAGGCGAGCGCGTTACCGCTTGAGCCATATAACCAGCTCCCCCCCAAATATTTTTATTTTTAAATAAATAAAGAGTACAGTTTAGCTAGTTATGCTAAAAAAAAAAAAAGTGCTAGCCTGCAACCTCAGTGTTTGAGGCTTGAGGAGAAGGAGCCAGGAATAGGAACTCTACAATAATTGTGATAACTGACATTTGAGGGCTCTCCCTGCACCAGGCTATTTACAAAAATGACCTCACTGAAGAAAATACCTTCCTTTTTTCAGATCTGGAAACAGCGACAGGACTCCCACGAATGCCCAGCACCCCCTCTCCCCCTCCTCCATCCCCGTACAGGGAATTGAACCAAGGGCTGCTTTCATTGAGCTACATCTCTTTTAAAACAAACAAACAAAAAAAAAAAAACCTTTTTTTTTTTTTTAAGACAAGTTCTCCCCAAATTGCCCAGACTGTCCTCAATTTGGCGATCCTCCTAGCCTCTGCCTCCTGAGAGGCTGGGATTACCTGCGAGCACCACCGCGCCCTGCTGCCCAGATGGTATTTAACGAATATTTTGGCTCCATTAATCCTTGGGATTTAAGAGTGTGTTCTACTAGGCAGCAGGGAGATTTGTCTTCAACAGCGTACCGCTCCCACACCGCCCCTTCGGCGTGGGCATTACCTTTCAAACGCCCAGCGCCGCTCCACTCGGATTCGGCCCACTCCCAGCCGGCTTTCCCCAGCGAGCGTCGTACTGCCGCTAACGATTGGCGGTGATTGCTGTCGTAGTGGTCCCGCCCCTTGTTGCGAGATTTCCGATTGGGGGAGGCTTACGATGCTCCGCCCCTCGGCGGCCCGAGCAGCCGGAAACGAGCATGGCGGCCTCTGGGGCCGCGGCCACCGATCTAGGTGCGATGGGCTTCAGACGGGGCTGCGGCTCCAGGATTGCGAGGGAGGGATGCAGGGGTGGGTCCTGAAGTATGCAAGAGTACTGCAGTGGGTGGGTTGGGAGTGGCTTCAGACGGGGTCCCTTCAGACAGGCGAGGGCCCTTAGCACTGGCATCTCCGAACGCGGGCGGAGAGAGGCCCTTGAGGACCGATTGTCCCTGCTCCTCCGCGACACCGGTGGAGCTAGTAGCCGAACCTGTTTCGCGCCCCTCAGTCTGTCCCCCTGTGCCTGCAGAGGTGATCCGGGGCAAGCGCGCCGCCCTTTTCTTCGCCGCGGTGGCCATCGTGTTGGGGCTACCGCTCTGGTGGAAGACCACGGAGACGTACCGGGCTCCGTTGCCTTACTCCCAGATCAGTGGGCTCAATGCCCTGCAGGTGAGACTTGGGTGGGGGAAGACCCGGGAACAGCCCACCGGCAAGGCGGAGACTCAGTCGAAGTCCCTGATGCTTCTTCCTGCAGCTCCGGCTCATGGTGCCCATCACTGTAGTGTTTACCCGTGATTCAGTGCCCCTGGATGACCAGGAGAAGTTACCCTTTACTGTTGTGCACGAGAGAGAGATCCCTCTGAAATGTGAGTTCCTGGGGGATCAGTGTGGGCGTCCTATAACCTATTAAAAGATATCGCTGAATGAACAAGTGTGTTTGGTTTGAAAAAAAATTGACCTCAAATTCAGTGTTTGTCTTGAAGGCAGCAATTTATTCATAAGTTATACTATCTAATCAGAAGCAATCATTGCCCATCAGAGTAGAGGGTAGGAAGTGGGATGTAATGAAAAGGAGTGCAGTGTTTGAAATTAAATTGCATATATATACAAGTCCTGTTCAGTTTTACATTAAACATTTTTTTTTTAAACCGAAGGGCTCTCAAACACAGAGCTACATCCCTAGCCCTTTCTTTATATTTTATTTAGAGATAGTCTTGCTGAATTGCTTAGGGCCTCACTAAGTTGCTGAGGCTGGCTTTGAACTCGTGATCCTCTTGTCTCAGCCTCCTGAGCCACTGGGATTACAGGAGTACACCATGCACCTGGCCACATTAAACAAATTTACTGAGTATTATGAACTTTTTAGTTACCAGGAACTAGGAGATAAATAAGAAATTGGTAACGCCTTCAAAAATTTCATACTCAGGTAGGGGAGAAATAACACATAGGTAAAAGAAATTACTATAGAATGTACAAGGAAAAGGGATTGCCCTTTAGAAAAAGCATTTAACTGAGAGGAAAGAGAAAGTTTTGAGTGATATAATTTTTTTAAATTTATTTTTTAGTTGTAGTTGGACACAATACCGTTATCTTATTTATTTCTTTTTATGGGTGCTGAAGATTGAACCCAGGGCCTCACACCCAGGATCTCAACCCAGGATCTCACACGTGCTAGGCAATTGCTCTACTGCCGAGCAACAACCTCGGCCCTTGAGTGATATAATTTTTAAAGTTATGTTTTTAAAGGATATGTAGGAATACAGGTTAAATGAGACAGGGAGAGAAAATTCGAGAAAATGAATAGGATGAGCCAGTAATAGGGTTAAGTAATATTATTCATTTCTCACTGTGTGCCAGAAACTAGGTGAAATACGTTATACTTGTTGCTTCATTGAATCATTTTTCTGACATTTGTAATCTCTATTTTATAAATGAAGAATCAGAGAGTTTAACTTGTTCAAGATCACACAGCTAGTAAGAGGTGGAATTAGGGTTGAATCCAGGCCTGATTCTTTAAGCTTTTAACCAACAAATTATACTTTTTTTCTGTGTAAAACCATGGAAGGATAAATCAGTGTGTTGGAGATCTATGAGCAGATTTTTAAAAAATTTTTATTTAAAAAATTTTTTTTTAGTTGTTGTTGGACCTTGATTTTATTTATTTATTTGTGGTGCTGAAAATTGAACCCAGTGTCTCACACATGCTAGGTGAGCGCTGTACTGCTGAGCCACATCCCCAGCCCCCTATCAGCAGTTTTATCTTACTGGTATATGAAGTGAAACATGGAATGACTAGAGAGAGATAGGTTATGTCTGGACTGTGATGTGCCTGTGTGCCATTTACTTTCTAGCTCTTCAACTTTGGTTTGGACATTAAAAAAAAAAAAAAAAAAAACAGGGGCTGGAGATTTGGCTCAAGTGGTAGCGCGCTCGCCTGGCATGTGTGCGGCCCAGGTTCGATCCTCAGTACCACATACAAATAAAGATGTTGTGTCTGCTGAAAAACTAAAAAATAAATATTAAAATTCTCTCTCTCTTTAAAAAAAAAATATTATGTAGAGGAGGGGGTGCCTCTAAAAAAAAAAAAAACCCTCATATTTTTTGTGTGTATGGTACTGGGGACTGAGCCCAAAGCAAAACAGGAAAAGATCAATTTAAAAAAAATAAATAAAATATGTTAAATGTTGTTAGAAGAAAAACAGCAGAAGCCGGGCCTGGTGGCATATGCCTCTAGTTGCAGTGACTAGGGAGGCTGAGGCAGAATAATTGCAAGTTTGAGGCCAACCTCAATGACTTAGTGAGACCCTGTCTCAAAATAAAAAAAATAAAAAGGGCTGACAGTTGTTCAATGATTTAGCACCTCTGGGTTCAATCCCTAATAAAGAAGGAGAAAAATGAAGAGGGGTTGGGGTTATGGCTCAGTGGCAGAGCCCTTGCCTAGCACATGTGAGGCACTCAGCACCACATATAAATAAATAAAATAAGTCATTCAGTCCTTAGCACCACATAACAAATAAAATAAAGGCATTCAGTCCTTTGCAACTACAAAACAAAACAAAAAAAAAAAAGAAGAAAAGAAAAGAAAAACACGACAAGATGAAAGGGAGATGTTCTTAGGGATTGGGAGGTGATCACAGTTTTAGATGGAGTGGCCAAGGAAGACCTCATTGTAAAGAGTTGAGGGAATAAACAATGCACATACCTGGGGAAAGAGCATCTTGACAGGGGGAAAAGCAAGTCTAAGGTCCTTGAAGTAGGAGCAGGTGAGGTACCTTTCAGAAACATTGAGATTTCAATGTGACTGGATTGATGTGAAGAAGGGAGAGAAAAAGGAAATGAAATAAAACCTGGGCAAGCTGAGTGCATGCCTGTAATTCCAGCAGCTCAGGAGGCTGAGGCAGGAGGATGGCAAGTTCAAAGCCAGCCTCAGCAACAGTGAGGCCCTGTCTCTAAATAAAATACAAAAAAGGACTGGGGATGTGGCTCAGTGTAGTGCCACTGAGTTTAATCCCTGGTACCTGCTCCCCACCCAAAAACACAAAACAAAACAAAACAAAAAAAGAGGGCAGTAGAGGGGTCCAAATCATGCAGGGCCTGGTAGATCATGGTTAGAGTGTTGGCTTTCATTCCAGATGAAAAGAGAAACCATTATCCAATCAGTTTAGCAATAATTCCTTAATATCACCTAATTCTCAAGTCTATATTCAGATTTCCCCAGTTATCTCAAAGGTATCCATTCACATCTGGTTTATTCTAACCAAGATCAACACACTATATTTGGTTTTTACGTTTTCTTTTTTTTCATAGTTGTGGGGATCCAACCCAGGGTCTCATGCATACTAGGCAAGCACTCTAACACTGAGCCATATCCCCAGCCTCAATACATTTATATTTGGTTATGTCTCTTTTGTACCCTTTACTAGTATTGGCTCCCCTCTAACCCACCCCCATACACTTCTTTTCATACCATTGATTTATTGGAAATTAAGTATTTGCTTAATAGATGTCATCCAGGATTTGGCAAATCACTGCCACAATTTTATGTAATTTATTCTTCTAGTATCCTTCTTTCTTCTTTTTTTTTTTTTTTAAGGGTGGAGAAAACCATTTTATTTTTTTTTAAGAGAGAGAGAGAGAATTTTTAATATTTATTTTTTTTTAGTTTTCGGTGGATACAACATCTTTGTTTGTATATGGTGCCCAGGCCACATGCATGCCAGGCGAGTGCGCTACCGCTTGAGCCACATCCCCAGCCCCTAGTATCCTTGTTTCTTGTAAACTAGTGGTTAGATCTAGAGATTTAATTAGAGCCAGATTCAGTTTTTTAGGCAAGGATGCTTTATAGATGACATGACATACTTCCTGTTATATCTTAAAACATGTAATAGCTGGTTATACAAAATGGATATGTTTTATAAAAAAAATATATTAGATTCAGTTTTTTAGGCAAGGGTACTTTATAAGTGACGTGACATACTTCCTGTAGTGTTATGTCATAAAACATGTCATAGCTGGTTATCCATTTTGGGTGATGTAGAAGTATGTAAGTGAGTTCAGGTATTGTCAGTTTAATCTCTGTATTTTAGACTTCCCCATATACTTGATGATTTTAGCATCTATTTGTTGCTGAAATTGATTTCATTACTAGGTGCCAAATGGTGTTCTCCCCACCCCCCCCATTTTCTAGCATTTATTCTGCATGTTGCCATGTTGCCTAGAATTCTTGTATAAAGAGGAATTTTCCCAGTAAATTTTAGGTTCAGTTTGTCAAGTTTCAGGTGGCAAAGAAATCTCTTTGGGATTACTTTATATGTATAGAATAATTTGGGGAGAATTGACAGTCTTACAATATTTTATCTTTCCATCTAGGTATTTCCTGGGTATTTTCTTTTTTAACCATACGATTTATTTTTATTATTTTTTTAGTCATACATGACAGCAGAATGTATTTTGACATATAATACATACATGGAATGTACATACATCAATCATATTGTCTATTCTATTCTGTTGCCCTTCCTATCCCTCCTACTCCTCCCCTCCTCTCCCATCTTTTTCTCTATCCAATCTAATGTGACACATTTTTTTTCTTTTTCTCATCACAATATCATATATGTATTCTGTATAACAATGAGGTTCTCCTTCCATCTTTTTCCTGGGTATTTTCATTGTTATTATTAATAATTTTCATTGTTATTACAATTGGGATTTTTATTTTTAAAAAAGGTTTACTTTCTAATTGGATCTTGCTGGTATTTATATAGCTATTGATTCTTATATATTCTTGTGTCTAGTCATCTTACGGAATTGTTATTATTTGTTTTTGCTTTTTCTTCGTTTGTTTTGCTACCGGGGATTGAATCTAGGGGTACTTAACCACTGAGCCACATCCTCAGTCCTTTTTATTTTTGTATTTTGAGACAGGCTCTCACTAAATTGGCCTTGAACTTTAAATCCTCTTGCCTCAGCCTCCCTCATTGCTGGGATTATAGGTGTGTGCCACCATGCCCTTCTGTTACTAATGCTAATAGATTTTTCCCCCTGTACTGGGGACTGAACCTAGGGCCTAATGCATACCAGACACATGCTCTGCCACTGAGCTACATCCCCAATTCTTTAAAACTTTTTTTTTTTTTTAATTTTGCTACAGGGTGCAGCTAAGTTTGCCCAGGCTGGTCTCAAACTTAAAGTCTTCCTGCCTCAGCCTCCCTAGTTGCTAGGATTACAGTCATGCCACCACCATGCCTGGCTCTTCCTTTTAAATATTTAGAAGTTTTCTCTTTTTTCACTGAATACATTGGTCAGCACCTTCTGAAAGAACAGTGCTGGATAAAATAAGAATAATGAATATAGCAGGCATCCTTATTTTATTATTAACTTTAATGGAATTGCATTTAGTGTTTTGTCATTAAGCACATATTTTGATTTTTATCAGGGCCATTTATTGAATTTAATTATTTGGGGACCAGGGTTGGAATGACCATGTGGGTTTTCTTCTTTCACCTATAGATGTTAATGAATATCGAAATGGCACCCCAGTGGGAAGATTTTTTTTTTTTTAAAGAGAGAGTGAGAGAGGCAGAGAGAGAGAGAGAGAGAATTTTAATATTTATTTTTTTAGTTATTGGCAGACACAACAGCTTTGTTGGTATGTGGTGTTGAGGATCGAACCCGGGCCGCACACATGCCAGGCGAGCGCGCTACCGCTGGAGCCACATCTCCAGCCCAAGTGGGAAGATATTTCAGACTGAAAGAGCAGTGTGTGCACAGGTAGCAGCAAGAGCTGGGGCAGAAGGGAGAAGCAGGACATCATGCGTTCACTTTCATCCGTGCAGAAAAAATTAGAGTTGGCTATAGCTGCCTAGTGTTTGGTGTTTCTCTGCAAACAACCATCTTGCTATCCTCAGATGCTGGATAGTATTAGGTTTGGGAAAGTGGGCCTGTCCTCATCAAGCTACTTCCTTTCCCTCTAGACAAAATGAAAATTAAATGTCGTTTCCAGAAGGCCTATCGAAGGGCTTTGGACCATGAGGAAGAGGCCCTGTCATTGGACAATGTGAAAGGTAGGGGAAGGGGTAATCACACCATTTTGACAAAAAGCCCTCTTGTTTCCTTCTGGTCTTTTTAAGTGTATGATTTCTATGATTTGTCTTACCTTCAAAGCCACTTTGGGAAAGCAGGGAATGAAGTACCTTGAGTTTTATCCTGGCCTAATGAGGACCAGAGTCCTAGACTTGGCTTACCTATTGTGTCCTGGTACTGTATCAGCTGACTGAGAATAGAGGGTGGCCTAGGCACTCTGTTGGGGCTGGGGGAAGCTGGAATGGCATTGCTTGTTGTATAACACTTTCTTTCATCCCCAGAGGCAGAAGCCATGTTAGCTGAGCAGAAGGAACAATCAGAAGGTTCCCTGACTGTGTTTGTGATCTCTGAACACTCCTTACTTCTTCCCCAGGTAGGTAAGCAGAGCAGCTGAGGCTTGGCCTTTTCCCTTTAGCTCATTCTCTTAGGTCATCCCTTTTTGTTTGTTTGTTTGTTTCTCTAGGTGGTCATTGAATCCAGGGGCACTTTATCATTTGAGCTATACTCCCAGACCAATTAATTGATTGATTGATTGAGATAGGGTCTCTAAGTTGCTAGCCCAAACTTGGATCCTCCTGCCTCAGCTTCTTGAATTGCTAGGATTACAGACATGTGCTACTATGCCAAGCTTAGTTATGTTCTTCTAGTAATGTTGTCTAATCTCCCCTTTGCTACAGAGAACTTTCCTCATCTTTTAAAAAAGAATGCCAGTAGAGCCAGATTTGGTAATCCATGCTTGTAATCCCAGCAGCTTGGGAGACAGGAGGATCGTAAATTGAAAGCCAGTCTCAGCAACTTTAGCAAGGCCTTGTCTCAAAAATTGAAAGTTGGGGGCTGGGAATGTGGCTCAGGCGGTAGCGCACTCGTCTGGCATGCGTGCGGCCCGGGTTCGATCCCCAGCACCACATACCAACAAAGATGTTGTGTCCGCCAAGAACTAAGAAATAAATATTAAAATTTCTCTCTCCCCTCTCTCACTCTCTCTTTAAAAAGAAAAAAAAAATTGAAAGTTGGTTTGGGATGTGGGTCAGTGGTTAAGCAATCCTGGGTTCAATCCCTGGTACCAAAAAAAAAATGTTGGGTCCGTGGAGGTTCATGCCTACATATAATCCTGGCTACTCTAGAGGCTGAGACAGGAGGGTTGCAAGTTCAATGTCAGCCTGGGCAATTTAGGGACCTTGTCTCAAAAAATGAAAATGGCTTGGCTGAGGGTGCTGGAAATGTAGCTAAGTGGTGGAGTGCTTGTCTAGCATGCATGAGGCCCTGGGCTTAATTCCTAGCACTGCCAAAAGAAAAAAGAAAAAAAAAATACCAATGAATATTTATTCATTAACTTTAGGTCTTTCTAAATCCAAGAATTATATGTGGTTTAAGTGCTCTTGGCCGTATAAAATGGACAGAAATTGAGCTGGTATGGTGGCATGCACCTGTAATCCCAGGGGCTTGGGAGGCTAAATCAGGAGCAAGGCCATCTTCAGCAATTTAGGGAGACTCTCAGCAACCTATCAAGATCCTATGTCAAAAAATAAACAGGAATGGGGATGTTGTGGTTCATTGGTAAAGGGCCCCTGGGTTCAATACCCAGTACCAAAAACATAAAAAATAAATAAATAAAAACGTAAAATGAACAGAAATCAGTGGGATTAAAATGAATTTTTTTTGTAGGGGGGCTGGGGTTGTGGCTCAGGGGTACATGTGCCTAGCACATGCGAGGCCTTGGGTTCAATCTCAGTATCACATAAAAATAAAATAAATAAAGTAAAGGTATTGTGTCCAACTACAACTAAAAAAAAAAAAAAGAAAGAAATTTTTTTGGCGGGGGGTGGGGGTTGTACTGGGGATTGAATTTAGGGGCACTCAACCACTAAGCCACATCCCCAGCCCTATTTTGTATTTTATTTAGAGACAGAGTCTCACTGGGTTGCTTAGGGCCTCACTTTTTGTTGAGGCTGGCTTTGAATTCATGATCCTCCTGTCTCAGCCTCCTGAATCACTGGAATTACAGGTGTGCACCTAAAAAGAATTTTTTTAAAAATTTACTGGAGAGTTAATGGTGTAGCTTAATGGTAGAGTTTTCATAGCATGTGCAAGCCCCTAGATTGCATCTCTAGCACCTAACAAAACAACAAAACCCCAAAACCAACCAAAAAGAATTATCTGGTTTGAATAGATTGTGATGGTAATGTAAGTGATTGATTGACCTTTTCACATTAGAATCAGAAAAATGCAGGGAACTATTTTCTTTTTGAATTTATAACGAAATATTTAAGTCTTATAAAAAGATGAAAGAAAATTTTTATGAGACTATATAAACACATTCCCAAGTTTGTGAACTTCAGGATAGTTGGAGCCTATGGTCTCCGTTTCCTTTCAGCCCCAGGTACTCATATTTATGTATCTCTTATTCCTTTTCTTTAGAGTTCAATCACATGTGTATAAACAATATATTTAATTTTACCTATTTTTGAATTTATATAAATGGTATAATACAATTCTTTTGCAACTTTAATTTTTTTGTTTTTGGTACTGGGGATTGAACCCAGAGATACTTAACTGCTAAACCACATCCCTAGCCCTATTTATTTATTTATTTATTATTTTTAATAGTAGTTGGACACAATACCTTTATTTTATTTATTATTTATTATCATGTGGTGCTAAGGATCGAACCCAAGGCCTTGCATGTGCTAGGCACACACTCTACCACTGAGCCACAACCCCAGCCCCTATTTATTATTATTATTATTATTTTTTAAAAAACTTATTTTTTAGTTATAGGTAGACACAATATTTTATTTTTATGTGGTGCTGAGGATTGAACCCAAGGCCTTGCATGTGCTAGGCACACACTCTACCACTGATCCACAACCCCAGCCCCTATTTATTATTATTATTATTATTATTTTTAAACTTATTTTTTAGTTATAGGTAGACACAATATTTTATTTTTATGTGGTGCTGAGGATTGAACCTCATGCATGCTAGGCGAATGCTCTACCTCTGAGACACAACCCCAACCCCTTATTTTTTGAGACAGGGTCTCACCAAGTTGCTTTGAGCTTCACTAAATTGCTGAGGCTGGCCTTGAACTTGTGATCCTCCTGCCTCAGCCTCCTGAACCACTGGGATTATAGATGTGTGCCACCACGCCTGGCTTCAACTTTAATTTTGTTCAACATTCATGTTTGGGAGACTCATCTGTGATGATTCATACATTTGTATCTGTATTTCATTATATAAACATAAACATAATTTATTCTATTGCTACTATTGAATTATTTCCAGTTTTTCACTATAGATAAAATGCTGTCGTGAACATTCTTGCATTTGCTTCTTTGCCATGTGCTCTTTGCATAAATCACATTTTCCAGTTGTTTTTTAATTATTATTTTCCTGTTCAGCATGCCATCTCTTAGTTTCCAGTTCACCATTTTATCTATAACTTTATTTTATTTATTTATTTATATGTGGTGCTGAGGATCAAACCCAGTGCCTTGCACATGCTAGGCAAGCGATCTACTGCTGAGCCACAACCCCAGCCCCAGCTGCTAAAGATTTTTTTTTTAATTTTTTTTCTCTTTATTTATTTTTTGCCACTTAGGATTTGGATGCTGCCTGGACTTCTGCCTATTGGGAAAGACAAGGGAATAAAAATATAGGAGTGGGGCTGGGGATGTGGCTCAAGCGGTAGCGTGCTTGCCTGGCATGCGTGCGGCCCAGGTTCGATCCTCAGCACCGCATACCAACGAAGATGTTGTGTCTGCCGAGAACTAAAAGAAATAAATAAATATTAAAAATTCAAAAAAAAATATAGGAGAACACATATATATGGCTCAGATCAGAAAAACTTAGTTGATAACTCACCATGACTACAGAGAGAGGAGTAGCAAAAGGCCAGGTTCTCTAAGTCAGGAGCCAGACTACCTTTCTGTTTTCTTCACTGATCTGTGAGCATTCTGTCCCTTTCTTACTCCTCACAGGACATGATGAGCTACATCGGACCTGAGAGGACAGCAGTTGTGCGGGGGATAATGCACCGGGAAGCCTTTAACATCATTGGCCGCCGCATAATCCAGGTAGCCCAGGCCATGTCCTTGACTGAGGATGTACTTGCTGCTGCTCTGGCTGACCACCTCCCGGAGGACAAGTGGAGCTCTGATAAGAGACGTCCTCTCAAGTCCAGTTTGGGTAGGGCACCAGGCTTTACCATAGGAAGGGAGAGGAAATGAATTATGTGGTAGAGGAGGGAAATCTGCATGCAAACTCATTATTCTTTTCTTTCTCTCGTTTCAATTTGTTCTTAGAGCACTCAGTGTTCCTTATTTGGTCTTATTCTCCCTTTGGTTCCATGATGGAAATTAGCCCCATTCAAGGAGAAACAAGTTCAGCTTAGTCAGGGGTATAGGCTGTCCCTTTATCCACAAGAAATTCTGATTTTTTGACTCCTGTTTATGTAGGCTATGAGATCACCTTCAGTTTACTCAATCCAGACCCCAAGTCCCATGACGTCTACTGGGACATTGAAGGGGCTGTCCGACGCTATGTGCAGCCCTTCCTGAATGTCCTTAGTGCTGTTGGCAACTTCTCTGTGGATTCTCAGGTGAGACTGGGAGTGAATTGAGTTTCTTTCGAAGTCCATACATATTTAGTGTTTACAAAATACATCTGTACTTTCATCTCTTCAAGCTTGCTGATTCTCTGGCAATTTCCATGTATATGTATGCATGCCAGTGCCCTAAGAACAGGTACTGAGGCGTTAGTGTGTGTGTATCTGCCTGTCCCTTTAAGGAAGGTTCTTGTGTCTTTTTTTTTTTTAATTTTTTTAATTGTTGATGGACCTTTATTTTATTTATTTATAAGTGATGCTGAGAATCAAACGCAGTGGTCTCACTCACCAAGTTGCTTAGCGCCTCACCATTGCTGAGGCTGGCTTTGAACTTGTGATTCTTCTGTCTCAGCCTCTTGAACCACTGGATTACAGGCATGTGCCACTGCGCCCGGCCTCCCAGCCATTTTTTATCTTTTATTTTGAGACAGGGTCTCACTAGATGGCTTTGGGCCTTGCTTTCTGGCCTTCAACTTGGTGATCCTTCTGTCTCAGCCTCCCAAGTCACTGAGATCACAGGGTTACACCACTATGCCCAGCACCTAGGATAAAATTTAATATACTGAATATGGGCTTTGAAAACCATACATTTTATAAGATTTCCTAGCAGCCTGAACAAATAAATAAAGAACAATAATAATTCAGTGTCTACAAGATCAAATCAAGTAGTTATTCAGAAACAATCATTCCTACTACCGAGACTGGATAAACAATTCTCCCATCTTGGCCAGGCAAAATAGGACCGGGGATGTGCCTCAGTGGTTGAGTGCCCCTGAGTTCAATCCCCAGTACCACCCTCCCCCGCTTTATTCTTGGCTTTGTTATTTGTTTCCTGTGCCTTATTTTCTCTAAACCCTGATTTCTCTCTCTCTCTCTCTCTCTCTCTTTTTCTTTCTTTTTTTGGTACTGGAGATTGAACCCAGGGGCACTTTACCACTGAGCTATGTCCCCATCCCTTTTTATTTTTTATTTTGAGACAGGGCCCTGCTAAGTTGCTGGGGCTGGCTTTGAACTTGGCAATCTTCCTGCTGCAAACTCCCAAGTCTCTGGGACTACAGGCATGCACAATCATGCCTGGCTGTCTCTTATGTTTTAGAGACCTCAAATCTTTTTTGGGACAAAGGAGGTCACAAATCAATTTTTTTTTTTTTTTTTTTTTTTTTTGGTACTAAGGATTGAACCCAGGGCTTTGTGCATATGAGGCAAGCACTCTACCAACTCAGCTATATCCCCAACCCAGGCCATAAATCAATTTTTAAAAATAATCTCTTCCTTCTTTGTTCTACAGATCCTTTACTATGCGATGTTGGGGGTAAATCCCCGTTTTGACCCAGCCTCATCCAGCTACTACTTGGCTATGAATAGCCTCCCCCATGTCATAAACCCAGTGGAGTCCCGTCTAGGTGAGCTCCTGAGGACAAGGGTCTTTCTGCCAGGCCAGGGAGAGACCCTGAAGGCGTAGCCTGTGGTTGGAGGCAGGTTGTATATAGTGATGGTTGCCAGGTTGGGTTGGTCTGAGGAGAACTAGGAATATTTAGTCTCCTTTTTCCATGATGCTCTTTGATATCTCTATCTATTTTTTTTTTTTTTGATACTGGAGATTTAACTCAGGAGTTCTCAATCGTTGAGCCACATCCCCAGCCCTTTTAATTTTTTTAAAATTTTGAGACAGGGTTTCACTAAGTTGCATAGGGCCTCGCTAAGTTGCTGAGGCTGTCTTTGAACTTGTGATTATCCTGCCTCATCTTCCTGAGCTGCTGGGATTTCAGGTGTGTGCCAGTGTGCCTGGCTGACATCTCTTTCTTTAACCCAAAATCACTTATTAATCATGACTCCTAGCACTTTTAACAAAAGGATATGCTGGGTCTCCCTCCTTAAAAGCTATCTAGAGTAAGATACAGTCACACATCTAGGAAAGGCAGAAGTCCATGAAGGCAGAATTTGAATAGACAGTTCTAATTGAGGTGGAAGATCCTTGAAGTTAGCATTATGGTTTTTCATTTTGTGGGTGGATCCTAGGAAGAGCAAGTGTGGCTAAGATCTGTAATACAAGCAGACCAAAGTAATTATATCATTAATTATGAAGTTCAAGTACCACTGGTAGGCCAGCATGCGTAGATCATGGCATGTGAGACCTGAACAAATTGCTCTTTTATTCATTCTTTTTTTTTTTTGAATACTGGGATTTAACTCATGAGTACTCAACCACTGAGTAACATCCCCATCCCTAATTTGTATTTTATTTAGAGGCAAGGTCTCACTGAGTTGCTTAGCGCCTTGCTGTTGCTAAGGCTGACTTTGAATTTGTGATCCTTCTGCCTCAGCCTCCCAAGCCACTGGGATTACAGGCATGTGGTCCATTTGTTCTTTTACCATTTAGCAAACTCTGGCTGAGGGATTGCTTTGTGATATTGCTGAGTACAGAAATGGAAGGGCAGTTCAGGCAAAAGAGAACTCTGAGCTTAGATATAGAAAAGTAAGAGAGCATAAATAGATATTCAGGGAGTAGTTCATTGTGGGTGAATGTGAATGAGTGACCAAAGATGAAGGTGACAGGTGCCAGATTGTAAATGACCATATTAAGGAATTTAAACTTCAACCTGGTATGGATAGCTAGTGAATGAAGGATATCAGGGAGCTGACACAGGTCACATTTATAACTGTGAGTAAAACTAGCTATAGTAATAAAGTGCATTGTGACAGTGACCAAGAAAGCTGTCTAGACAATCAAGGGGGGCTTCCTCAAGAAGAGGAGATTCCAGGGGCATTTTGGGGCTAAGGATTGTGTTGTGTCTCAGGAGTTCAGAGGTCCTTTACGTAGAAACCCAGGACTGGAGAATGTCTTAGTGATTACCAGTCAGAGAAACTGAGTCCCATAGTGAGTGACCATCAAGGTAGAGGCTGACCTAGAACTAAGCTCTAGGTTCAATGTGTTTTGGTATCTTAACTCTTCTTTTCTTTTTCCACAGGATCGAGTGCTACCTCCCTGTACCCTGTGCTCAACTTTCTACTCTATGTGCCTGAGCTTGCTCACTCCCCCCTATATATTCAGGACAAGGATGGGGCTCCAGTGGCCACCAACGCCTTCCATAGTCCCCGCTGGGGTGGCATTATGGTAATAGTTGCACTATGCAGACCCCAGAGCCCAAGTTTTAGGAATGGACAGATGTTCCCTGAAACTGTTCCTTTGGTTTTCTTGTGTGGTCCTTTATGGCCCATCCTATTGGGGAGGGGCAGGTACCAAGGACATGAGAGTGCTGTGTGCTCATGCCCCTCCTCTGCCAGCCCTTCTGTTTCTTTTTTCTGTTGGTATTTTCTGTACTGTGACCCTTTTGTATTTACCAGATTGCACTTAGGACTATACTGTGGGCTGATTTTAGGTCTTGGCTCTCTCTAGAGGAGTCTTGCAAAGTTAGGAATCTTGTCTCCCCTGTTAGACTGGGAGCTTCTCATGAATTGGAACTGTAAAATGGTATAAAATTTTTTTATCTTATAGGACTTTTGGGAGGGTAGTTGAGGTAAGTTACTTAAAATTCCTATAGTAGGTACTCAAATATTAGCTTTCCCCTGGGTTTGTAGCTTCCATAGAGTAGAACATATGCCTTCCTTTTCTCTTATAGCCTCCAGTGTGCCAAAGGCAGAGCCGTACACAGTTTGGTGTGTCGTGGCAACCTTATTCTCCCTTTTTCAGGTGTATAATGTTGACCCCAAAGCCTATAATTCCTCGGAGCTGCCAGTAAGAGTTGAGGTGGACATGGTACGAGTGATGGAGGTGTTCCTGTCTCAGTTGCGGTGAGGTCCCAGTTGATCCACTTCGGGGTCTGTCTACCAAGAGGGGCCGTAGTTTTTTTGGCTGTAGAAAGGTGTTGCAGAGTAAAATGAAATCTCACTTGCTGGGGATACTTTGGCTGTGCCTACAGCTCCAGGGAAACCAAGAAAGGTTTCTAAGGACTGTGTCATCCTTCTAAGGACGACTAGTGGCTGATAAAACCTGTTTTCAGAAAAACAGACTCATGGACGTCATGTGTGACTAGGGGTGTGACTAGGAATGTTTAAGAAAATAACTGTGGCTGGGCATAATGTTGATGCTTGAAATCTAAGCTATTTGGGAGGCTGAGGCAGGAGGATCAGAAGTTTTTTAAATTAATTTATTTTTTTGGTACTAGGGATTAAACTCAGGGATGCTTAACCATTGAGCCACATCCCTAGCCCCACCCCACCCCCTTTTTAAAAAATTTTATTTAGGGACAGGGTCTCAATGAGGTGCTAAGTCCCTTACTAAGTTGCTGAGGCTGGCTTTGAACTTGTGATCCTCCTGTCTCAGCCTCCCAACTCTCTGGGATTATAGGCATCTGAGAGACTTATCAAGACCCTGTCTCAAAAATAAAATAAGAAGAACTAGGAGTATAGCTCAGGGGTAAAGCACCTCTGGGTTCAATCCCTAGTACCCCCCCCCAAAAAAAAAAGGTGATTCTGGATTATATCTTAACTAAGTCCCACTGTCCCCATTTGTGCATAGAGAGAATAGAGAGGGAATATTAAACCAAGTTGATATTATCAGAAATATTTTAGCTGTGGAACGTTTTTCAAACAAGATCTTGGAAGTCCATTATAGAAACCAGTAAACTATGGAAACACTCTGGTTGAAGCCAGGTTTGGGGCTCTGGATTGCTTCATTCTTACCAAGAACCATAGAACACCCCTATGCTGCTCACCCTCCACATCCCTTAAACTTCCTAGGATAATTGAAAATCACTAGCCTAGGACAGATCTTCTAGGATTTTTTAGTCATTGTCTCCCACCTTCTGACCTCTTGCTTTGTTGTTCCTACAGTCTGCTTTTTGGGATTGCTCAGCCCCAGGTACCTCCAAAATGCCTGCTTTCAGGACCTAAGAGTGAAGGACTAATGACCTGGGAACTCGATCGGCTGCTTTGGGCTCGGTCAGTGGAGAATTTGGCCACAGCCACCACCACTCTCACCTCTCTGGCCCAGCTTCTTGGCAAGATTGGCAACATTGTCATTAAGGATGATGTGGCATCTGAGGTAAGTGGGGAAGGGATGGATTCTGTGGCCTAGAGTTGGGCAAGGTGTGTGGGTCATGCATCTTTAAATGCCCCAAGTTTTCCTCTAGATGGACATGCCAGGAGTCTAGATAAGAATGAAGGAAGATTTCAAGTTGATTCTCAGAAAATAAATCATAGCCTTTTTTAGGCTGGCCTCCGTTTATCCTGGGTGAGCTATAGGCAACCTCCTTGGTAGATGAAAGGTACAGCAAGGCCCAGCCAGCACCCTGTATGCCAAGCCAGAACTTATTGGTAACCCCCATCTTCTCCCCTTCCTAGGTATACAAGGCTGTAGCTGCAGTCCAGAAGGCAGCAGAGGAGTTGGCCTCTGGGCACCTGTCATCTGCCTTCGTTGCCAGTCAAGAAGCTGTGACATCTTCTGAGCGTGCCTTTTTTGATCCTTCACTTCTCCACCTCCTTTATTTCCCTGATGATCAGAAATTTGCCATCTACATTCCACTCTTCCTCCCTATGGCCGTGCCCATCCTCCTGTCACTGGTTAAGATTTTCCTGGAAGCCCACAAATCCTGGAAAAAGCCTGAGAAGATAGACTGAGTGGGGCAGTATCTCAGTAGAAAGCCTGCTTTTATGGCCAAAGTGAGAGGTATTAGATTGAGAGGCACATAACTGGGGCCTACTGGGGACAACTTATGTATCTCCAGTCTCCTCCATTGGCTCTCCAGCTGCTGAAGTACAACACTCCAAGTTGTGTTAATCTTTTCTTCCTTTCCCATTCCTCTGGTTCAGATTGTCACTGCCAGGAACCTCAAAAGGTACCTCTTTTCTGGCTTGAACTTGACAGCCCCTGAGTGTCTCCCTTTGGGGCAGGGATACCTTGCTCTTCTGGCCTATTAACCTGGCACATCCTTGCACTGAAAGGGAGCACTAGGGGGAATTCCTAGGTTGGATTGTAGCCTCCTCCCCTCTACATTTCTCCATAACCCATGGCGGGAGATCACTTCTAGGACCTTTTCCCTTACTCCCCTTACTCCTGGTTGGCTTCACTTGTTGGGTGCAGCCTGAGTCTAGGAGGCAGCAGCTCAGGACCTGGTGGTATGGCAGAGGTTCCCTTTACCCTCTCAGAGAAGCACTGTGGTATAGTGGTAGAAGTTCTAGGCTTGGATTCCAAATGCCTGGATTCAAATCCTTGCTTCTGCACTAAACTAGCTAGGGAGCTTTGGATAAGCTACTCAGTCTCTCTGAGCCTCACTTTTTCATTTGTCAATAGCATTGATGATACCTCCCTCAAAAGGTGGTTCTATTGATAAATGTTATAAACATGTGAAACTGTATGGCATATATTAGGCTTTTTAAAAAAAATTATCAGTTGGTTTTTTTTTTTTTTTTTAATGGTGGGATTTAACCCAGGGGCACTTTGCCACTGAGCTACATCCCTAACCCTTTTAAATTTTTATTTTGAGACAGGGTTTTGCTAAATTACTTAGGGCATCATTAAGTTTCTGAGGCTGGCCTCAAACTTGCAATCATCCTGTCTCAGCCTTCTGAGTCACTGGGATTAAAGGAGTGCACCACAGCACCTGGAATATCAAGTTCTTTTTTTTTTTTTTTTTTTTTTTGGTACCGGGGATTGAACTCAGGGACACTTGACCACTGAGCCACATCCCCACATCTCTTTTATTTAGAGACAGGGCCTCACTGAGTTGCTTAGTGCCTCGCCATTGCTGAGGCTGGCTTTGAACTTGTGATTCTCCTGTCTCAGCCTCCGCTAGGATTACAGGCGTGTGCCACTACGCCCGGCTGCTATCAGGTTCTTAATAAACATTGGTTGAATATGAACTGAAATTATATGGAGTATGAGCATGACTTTCATTCTTGTGTAAATAACTTTTCTGCGTTTACAGTTCTATCTTGTTCTTCTGTCCTGAGGAACTCTAGTGTAGTTGGGCACCTGGGCTGTGGTCCCTCTGCATGTCCTGGGTTCCTAAGGCTGTTAGCATCTGCTTTTACTACATAGTAGGGTTTCTAGGAGAGAATGCTGGTATCAGTGAAAGCTCTGGGATACTAATTCATTCATGAATAAGTCAAAGAAAGAGAATGTGCAAGGAGCACTATGCTAGTGCTGGGATATTACAAAGAACAAACTTGATAGGATCTTTCACAGTTGATCTTTCACGGAGAAGAGTCAGTGAACAAATAAAAGTAATTTCACATAATGCATTAGTGGGAAAAGCTAATTAGAGACTGGGGTTAAGTATTTTAGAGGGGGTGGGTGTAATGAAGATTGAACAGTTTGAGGCTTGAGCAGAGATTAAAAGAGAAGCCATCAGGCCAAGAGGATCCCTAAGGCTTGAATCCAGCGAGTAAGAGGAGTTAGGCAGGATCCCTTACGTTGGGGGGTGGGGGGAGTATCCAACCACGAAGTAAGAAGAGTGGAAGCCCTGCACCCTGGCCCTGGGCCAGCTGCCTTTCAGCCTGAGTGGACCCGGCAGAAGGCGGGGTCGGAGCAGGACCCACCCCGGGGGCGGGGCAGGGGGCGGGACGGCACCTGGGGCCCGGCCGGGGGGCGGGGCTGCGGACGCTCCCCCTTCCCCAGGCTCCAGCCGGCTCAGGCAGTGGCGGCGGCAGCAGGATAGCCGCGGCCCCGCGAGGCCATGAAGGTGAAGAAGGGCGGAGGTGGGAATGGAACGGGACCGGAGCCCGCTCCAGGAGCCTCGGGCTCGAGCGTGGAACCCACGCCGGAGCCGCAGGCGGAATCCGAATCTGGGTCCGAGTCGGAGCCGGAGGCAGGCCCGGGGCCCAGATCGGGGCCGCTGCCCGGAAAGCAGCCCATCGCACCGGCGGACGTGCTGGGGCTACAGCGCATCACCGGCGGTGAGCACCGGCGAGGGAGCGCCGCCCGCGGGCGGGGGGGGCCCGCGCGGCGCGTGGAGCTCGGGCTCCCGCCCCCTGACCCTCCTTCCCCCGCCGCCCCTCCCCCACCCGTTTCCAGTCTCCTGTGTCCCCTACTCTTAACGACTCTCCCTTCTTCTTCCAAGTCTGGGATCTCCAAGCCCCACTTCCCTTGATTCCCTTGATCTACCTATGCACCTCTCTTCTTGTAGAGGTTTATTTCCACCCCACTCCTTCCTTTTTGAGGGACCCACCCCTTTTCCCATGGTGGAGGTGGGGCGGCAGCTGCAACTCAAACCCTTTCCATGTGGAGTCTTAAGAACCATTTTGGGCCTGTGGGCACTAATGAGGAGGGGGGCTGAGCCCCCACCCTGGAGTCTAGGTGGTGACTGAATTAATTAGGAAGTTTTAGACCCTTAAGTCTCCCTGACCATTTATGCCCTCACCCTGGGTCCCCCAGGTGGTCTAGGGCCATTCCCTTACCCTGGAAAGGAACTGAGCAGGAAGCTTCAGTGTGTTGGCTAAGGGCTCTGTCCTGGAGTGAGTTAATGCCCCCTCAAATCTAGACTAGGGCCTGTTCTCCTCAGGGGCTCTGTCGTCAAGAGATGCCTAGTCTCCACTGTGAGTTTCTGGGCTGGACTGCCTGGGTTGGAGTCCCAGCTTTGCTACATAATGGGCTGTGTGACCTTGGACATGTAACTTCATTTCTCTGAGCATGTACTTTCATCTGTAAAATGGGGATGACACCTCCATCATAAGGTTATTGTGAAAATAAAATAAGTCCTCTGATTTTCTACAGTGGCATGTTATGCATGCTCTGTAAATAGGGTTCTTTTATCAGTATTATGGGGGGGTGGGGTTTGTCACAGGACTGCTGCCTGGAGGCACACAACTGGGTATTCAGGGCAGAGGCAAGGGTCACCATAGACGGGGAACAAAGACTCAAAAACCTCATGACAGAGGCTTGATTAGCCTTGAAGAATGGGAGATATTTAGCAAGATGGTGGCCTCCACCTTGGCATCATTTACCCAGTAACCTGCCCTGGCTCCCTTTGTGAGAGCACCCTTGAGTCCTCTCTCCATTGGGATGCGGATATAGCCCAGGGCTCCCACATGAAGCAATGGAGAGAACCATGATGGCAAGCCAGAGCCTGTGCTTTTGGGTCCCTGGGGTCTCCTTCCTTTTCTGAGCTAGGCTGCAGCCATTCTTTTCTTGGCTGGGCCCCCAAATGGCTGAGCGCCCTTGCATAAGCAGGCATCAGTGGACAAGGCTGATGTTGGAGTCATTGGGCTGCAATTTGCAACAGCAGCATTTAGGATTCAGTTTAGCTCCGGGGATGGAGGTCAAACTGACCTGCCTGAGTTCTGGATAATTTGAGGGGCTTACTTTGAAATCAAAGGAGGCTTCCAGGTGAAGTTACAACATGTGTTTCCTAACTTGGAGAAAATTCATACTCCTTAGAGATGTGGCATCTGTGGGGAAAGAGTAGGGGTGCAGGCTTTGTTGGAGCCCTTTCCTGTGTGGGATCTGAGAGCAGGGAGCTAAGCTTCTCCACCCTAGCACCCCTTGCTTGGGTCTTCTGACCCTAATCATGTGGATCTGAGGTTTGTTGTTCCTGGATTACTGGGCCCTGAATCCAGCTTAAGAAGCTATTTGTGGCTGAGAGGAAGGGACAGTTGTGTTCTGAGCCCTTAGCCTCTCTCGCCCTCACTCTGGCCCAACCCTGGGCCTTAGGCTTCAGCTTCCCTGGCAGAAGGGAGGGAATGGTTGTGATATTCTGAGCCATTAGCATCCCTTGTCCTCACTTTCTCCTAAGACAGAAGAGCTGACAGATTGTTTGCAGTTGAAGAGACCGGGGACAGACTGCAAAAAAAAAAAAAAAAGGGGGGGGGGAGGGGGACCTTGCAGGGAGCCCACAACTAGGGTCCTGCTCCCTTCTTCACCTCATGCCCTGAACCTTTCTTCGGACCAGTGCTTACTTTCTGTGAAAATAAGGTGTGTAAGAGTGAAGGAGGAGCTTCCCACTTCTAGTTTCCTTCCTTCCCCCACAATTTGGTAACAGGTAAAGGCTCAGGGCCTTCTCCAATCTTTATGTAGTTCCTAATGGGTCCCTAGGAGCCAGAGGACAACCAGAAAGCTGTCTGGAGGGGGCTGCTCCAGGTGTGGGAAAGAGACAAACTTCCTACCACAGAGTAATAGGAGATGGCCTAGGATCCTGGAGGGTGACTTCTAGGCCTCTACAGGCTACCAGGGGAAAATGTGGTCTCTGCAGCCTGACGGTACCAGCCTGCACCTCTCTGCCCCTTCCTATTTATTTCCAGGGCCTCCCTAAGCACTTGTGTATCCTGCAAGGACAATGAGGATTAGGTCAGGCCCTGTAGATTCCTGAGCTTCCTCAGGCAGGGCCTACCACTGTCTCTGATTTCCCTTCTGGGCCTGAGGACTCCCCTGTCTCCCTTGCACATCCCTGATGCACCTGCTCCACCCTCTTCCTGGTTTAGCCTGTAATTTCTGGGAGCCAGAGAGTACTTTCTCTGTGGGGGTGGCTCAGGGCCAAGGCTAGATAGATGACCTTTGGGGGGGGGGAGGGGTCCTTCTGTTTGCTAAAGACTTCCTTCCATTTGGAATTCAACAGAGGATGGGAGGAAAGTTTGGCCCCTTCCCCCAAATATCCTAGGCTCAGGACTGGAGTCAGCAGAGCTTTGGCTAAGCTGCTTAAGGGAGCTGGGCTTGCATAAGCTGCTTATAGGATGAGGTGAGGGTTGGGGATGAGGAGAAACAGGGAAGGGGTTGTGTACCTGCCCCAGCTATACCCATCTCCAAGGAAATCACCTCAAGATCAGCCTTATCTGACACTCCTAGAT